ACAGGCCATACTTGGTAGATCAACTCCAGTCCAAAACCAGGCGGAATTGGATATATATCTTGTGACCCATGGTAGGAAGAGGGTCCACACTGTCTTTACCTCAAGTTGTGTAGAATGGAAGGAGAAAATTCCTTACTGGTCAACTAAACAGGGCAAATGTGTGCAAATCTACAACTAACACCAGCCATCTGGGAATTTGACATCTGAACAATGGTTGGAAGGGACATGCTATTGTGAGAGTTTACTTCAGATCCAAAACCAAATGGACTGGTTCCAATCTGCATAACATCAGTCTCTGGGAGTAAATGTCATTGAGGTGAAGTGTGGGAGGGACTACATTTGCTTCATACATCATCATTCTCCAGATAGGACTGCTCAGAAGCTGGAGTGCATGGTTGACCAGCTGACTCCCTGAGCAACCACAGACCTGGGGCCAAATCAAGCGGGATAAGTGCAACATCAACCTCTGTGGGACACACCTGATGAAGGTGGAGCATATGACCAACACAAGTGTGAGGACTTTTGTTGATCGCTCCTTCTCAAATCCAAAACCACTCACTGGGAACCAATATCAAGTTGATGGTAGGACAAGGGATGAACTGCAATGTGGTGGATCTACTACATCTCTTTTATTATACAACTGTGACTTATGTGAAGGATCTACATCATCTAAACTGGCAGAAACCACAACCCTACTCTTTACTGAATGGAATTGAGCACATTCAAGAGGCTGCCTCCATGGTCCACCACCCAAGCAGTTAGGAACTGGTATGAAGAAAGGGGAGACCACAGTGGAGAGTCCATAGGAATGCTGACATCAGTGACAGTGCTATGGGTTGGTATGAAACCCATATTTTGAAAAGCTGGTGACACCTGATTTATTCAATCAAACGGATGGGCAGCTATCTTCTTCTGCTCTACCCATGAAAGTCCATAGGTTAAAATGGTCTGGAACAGGAATTTTGTTGAATCAAAATACCATGAGGAAAACCTACTAGTGGTCTTGTGGAACACACCATCTCAACAGTGTGCATTATTGGTCATGGGTATATATTGAAATTAGTGGAATTAGCCTCCACTCAAAGAATCTCTTTCAAAGGATGATCTGGAAAAGATGCCTGGAAGAATGAGACAGGGAGGAATACATAAGACTGATAAAATAAAGGATGTACCCAGCCTTTCAGGGTAGAAGGGGAAAATCACACTGTTAGGGAATGTTTCAATGAATGAAGAGGCAGGATCGGGAACCATGGAAATAAGCCATGTAGGCAGTATAACAATGAGAAGCATGAACAGGATATAGAAGTCTATCTGGATCCAGCCAGTAATAGAAGTGGGAAATGGAGGGAAGAAAATCAGTGGAAACAAAAAACTGCCCTCAGGAGCCACCACAGTTTCAAGCAGGAATGGTCAATTCAGAGAGAGGAGAACATATGTGGAATGGAAAAGAGTACATGAAACACTGGTGGCAAAGATCTCAGACCAATGAGGCCCACAGGTGAGGAGGAGAAGGAAATAAGTCATAAGGGATAGGTGATACATGTAACAGGAGGCCAGAGGCTCAAATGAAGGGAGGGAGAGGGAAATGAGAATGATAGGAAAATTCTAATCTGGAAGGACCACCCGACTAAGCCAGAGGGAATGCAATAACAGGGAAATGGTGGGAGATGAAAACACAGGACAGTACCTGGAAAAACAGACGTTACTGAACAAGGCTTCATGATAACCCATAACGAATGAAACAGAAGCACTATAATCGAACACCCATGTGAGAAAATTCACAAGAAGAGGGACAGTGAGCTGAGAAGGAGAAACTCCATGGCAGGAGACCTTCGACTTCCGTTGATAAATCATGAGGGATGAAAGGAATGGGACAAAAGGGATGCTACATGCAAGGATAAACTGAATCTCCTTGCAAGGGATCACAGAAATGCCAAGCAAGAAAATGGAGTGTGTGAAGGGTAGGATGAAGAGTGGGTGTCCAAGGCTAATGAAGGAGAAACAGTGTCAGAATAAGAGGTAATAAAGGAGTTTGGAGCTTAAAGAGAAGGGGAAACCAGGATTGGGCCAGCCAGAAAGGAGCAACCAGAAGGACCTGACATGGAGTGGACTGGATGATTGAAGTCACCCTGGGAAGAAGCCGAATTGGGGGGTAGGCATATAGGTACAAGTTGGTCCAATCCTAACTGACAGCATCCACAGCCAAGGCTTGGAGATGAGGAACTGGAGACCAAAAGATAGGTTACTAGGTATTGAGGCAAGTGGCAAGAGCATCCAGGAGAGGAACACCCCACTGAATGCAGAGCCATCAGAAAACCTGAGGGTTGAGGGACCACTCAATGGGTTAAACTTGACTGGTCAGGAAAGACAGTCTGCCATGAGGTTGAAGGCACCCAGAACATGACATGACAAGCCACGAGACATATATGAAGCGGGCCCAATAAAGAAGCTCTAATGTCCAAGAACAAAGTAAACGAGAATGGGTGCCCCTTGGCGATTGATATACAAGACCACAGTGGAGTTATCGGAATAGATCATAACCAATTTGTTTGGAACAATTGGAAGGAAAGATCCAAAGCCCAATGTACTGCTAGAAGCTCCAAGATCTTGATATGGAAAGAGTGTTTGAGTGGAGAACACAGTCTGGAAGCCTTCTAATGGTTGACCCACTCCTCCAACTTCAGAGAGAAGAATTGGTGAGCAGAAACAAATCCAGACAAGGAGAATGTAGTGGCACCACCATCGTGGTGTCTTGTCCAACCATCAATGGAGATCATCCAGGATGGAAGGAGGGAGGGTATAGAAGAAGTCCAAGGGATCCAAAGCAAGATTTCTCTTGTTGTGTAAATGCCTCACTGAAGGATCTAAAGTGGAGGGAACAGGGAAGGGATGGAAGCTGGAATGACAGTGGATTGAGACAAATAAACAACTAAAGAAAAAGAGTGTTGTCATAGATTCCACATGAGACTCCAAAGAGTCAGGGGTATTTCCTAAAACAGATCCACATAGAAATGGGGCCATCCAGAGGTCGCATAGATAAGTGGAGGGCGGGCACACCTGAGACAAGAGGGAATCCTCACCCAGGAGAACCCAGCAACAAAAAAGTCATGTGTGAAGGGTTAGGGCAGAGGAGGATAACCATGCCAATGTGGAGAAAATTGAGATAAAGGTATTCTCTGAAAACCCCTCTGGGGAACTGTGGATAGCTTCAGAAAGGAGAGAAGTAATGGTAAGACAAAGGCAGAAAATTGGGCTTGGGAGCGGTACTGAATGAAAAAAAATTCTATGCGAGTAGAGGTAAGGCACCGTATCGGAATTTTACTATTTACCCTATATACTTCCAAATCTGAAAAAATAATAATAACAATTAAGAAACTGGAAATAAATAAACTTTTACATTACCACAACAAAAATACCTGATTCTCTGGATTAACTAAAAATTATTTAACAAACAGTCCAATACCTAATAAGTTCAATATAAATAAATAACTAAACAGCATTACTGTTTACCTTTAGATAGGTTTTAACCTGACAAATCACTAAACTTTGGTGTCGCATATGGCTAATTATAAAATAATAATTAATTATATAACATCTGCACACCTACAATGATAGATTATTTGGTACACAACTTATAATTCAATGCATTCTAATAATTAAAGGATTTAATTTTTTATGTGCTGATTTATGACACTAAATATTTCTAGTCAGTTTACTATACACGATTGTCTTCATTAATTTATAGGATCGTCAAGAAAGACCGAAGAATTCAGACTGAAGACCTCAATGACACTGACACCAAGAGATTGGCAAGAGCCACGACAAGAACGTCAGACGCACTTCAAACTGAAGCCCCCGCGTCAAAAAGAACAATCCAGCTCCGACAAGCAATCAGCCGTAGCCAGATCCAGCTAAACCAAGAACCGGCAATTCCGAGAATGACGTCGCCTCTTCATCCGAACAACCTTTTCTAGACTTTAAACACCGCCAGCGGCTACATTGAGTGTACCCTATGACAACTAACAACATGCATTTTCCCACAGCATGCTCCAGGCATGGTCAGGGCATTTTATTCGGTGCTCTGGCCGTGAAAGTGGGTTTTCTCGGGATACTCCCATTTCCCCCCACAGCAAAAATTCTCCAAATGCTTTGGATCCTCTGATCCTAGCCCTGAAAAGGACCAACCCAGGCTAAAAGTAAAAGATAAAAGTAAATGTTACTCTTTAGTTCTATAGATCTCTATCAATGTCTAAACAGTAAACGGTAAAGCCTGAATCTGTGAACCTAAACTCTACATTCAGTTTAGTATAAATATTTCAGTCAATCACGGATGTACTTGATCTACATCTCCCTGCTCTGCTCTACAAACACCCAACACCGCGTGGTCATTCAACGTCAAGTACAGCAGAAAGAAGGAAAAATACCAGTGCCAACAAACAACTCAGCGAAGCTCTCCGCCTTTCTCTTCTTCTCCACATCTCCCCACAGCTTTTCCCGCCACTTGTGAGTTTACTAATGTGAAAATTACTCGTTCAGCAACTATAAGCCAACCCTATCACTCACGTAAGCGTTTAGTACTTAAAAAGCCTCGGCAACCTATTTCTAATTATAGAGTGGGGTGAAGAGAAACAAATGTTTCTGACCGCCCCTGGTTACTAACCTAAATACCTACCAAGCCAAAAGGAAAGGAAAGGATTAATTTATAACTTACCTTTTAATTTAATTGAATTCTGGAGTATATACCTGCAATTATCTTTTGATCTAGAGTTCTCAATAATTAATCTAAACATATAATAACTGTACATTCATAAAGGTAGTTTCTTTCTCTTAAAGGTTGCAAAAGATTGACACAACAAAGTCTTTACACTTACAGATCAATGTGACTTTGAGACCATAACTTTTTCCTGAGGCTAGTATTTCTTTATATTAATGATCTTAACCATTTGAACTTAAAAAATGTCAAGATTTATTGCTTATACTTCCCATGGAAGACCCAAGTTATTTTTGTCTTTACACTTACAGATCAATGTGACTTTGAGACCATAACTTTTTCCTGAGGCTAGTATTTCTCGGATATTCATCTTCTCTTTCTTCTTCAGTTTTGTACAGGAGGGCCTTCTCACCAATAGTAACATACCTAAAGGAGGTATTAGGAAAATATTTAGTCTAACTAGCTTTGGAACTACAATTCTGTATAATAATATTGCTTTGGTTTTCCTTTAAAATACTTAAAAAATGCACCTGATTTGATGTTCTATGTATGAGTGAGTATAAATATATTCAAATAATTATCTGCATAAATAACATGACTTAGGTACAATTCAAATGAGAACTAATTTCTTGACAATAATCAGAGCAATTACTTCTTCTTTAACTAATAACAAGTTCATATTTGTTCTTGTGTAACAATTCTAACTTAACTTGTGTACCATTTGGAGGTTTTGAAGGTATGAGTTTATTTAATACAGTGCAAGAACTGGTAAACTTATCCAAATACCTTATTGATCCTAAACATATAAGCAGACAACTTTTATAAAAGTATCAAAATGACCATTAGCTTACAACGGTGAACAAACACTTGTAAAGAACAAAGTGGTTATTAGCCTCTATTGGTGAACAAATACACAAATATTCTAATGATAATCTTCTCGTACATATGAGCAACCCCTTACAACAGATTACGAATGTGTGATGGATAAGTTGTAGAAGGATATGACATACCTTATGAGTGGAATGTGTCCTAATTTTGTTGGTTGTAATTAAGTAACTGGGCAGCAGTGGAGGATGAATAGATAAAATTATGAACTGTGAATGAGGCAAAAAGGTTTATCAGAAGACTTGTGAATAGTTGAGGTTAACTCACAGCTTTAGGTTACCAAGAGACAGATTATTGGCAGAAGACAGGACTGAGCCTACAACAGTTCTAGACCATCTACAAATTTGGAACAAATGTGCCAGAATTAACATTCTCACAGCCAATCAGGTATCACTATTATTTTCAAGATTTCTCTTGAGACTGTACATATATATAGAAGCATTCTTAATTAACATCTCAGATGTGATGAAGAATTCAGCACAGATATATATATGTACTCTCCAAAAATAGATAGAAAACAGAAGCATTAATCTAATTAATATGCAAACACATTGCTTAAAATGTAGTAATCATTACTAAGGCAGTACTTAAACTCAGAAATTACATAAATAAAGTTTACTTTAAATATATGTGTTCAAAGTTGCCTGGGTCATTAGTATGCATTTGACATAAGTGACATTGTTTTCTGAGTAGCAACTTGTTTTAATAGAATACAAAAAGTTTGACTTTACTATTACTTGTAACTGCAATTCTAATTATATTTGTTCAGGTCTTCAGATTGCTAATGCAAGATTTTATACAATTAATATCAATTTTGATAATGTAATTGAAGCAAACTAAGATAAAACACCAAACAATTGTTCATTAACACTCATGGAATACACGTTACTATTTTTTATGTATTTTTCTAAATTTTAAATTCTAATACAGGAATGATCTAATAATTTTCAAAAACACATGCACTGAGCCGAATCCGACTGTGTTATAAAATTATACTGTGCAACAATGGTTCCATAAAGCTGAGGATCACAATGGTGACAGAAAAAGGAGGGTCATCCCAAAGTTGGCCATCAAAGCATTGGTTTGAGAAGCCTTTTTATCTACTCCCTCAGGCTCAGCAGTGAACTATCTGTTGTATAACTTTTCATTAACTGTACAAATATATGTTTTCTATGTACTATACGCATCATAAATACACTGATTAGGAACATTTATATTGATCATGTAATTTACAGTGTTTAAGTTAGGATTAAGTCATGTGATAACCACAACCAATATGTCATGGGGAACAGAATGTATCAAAACTATATTTTGACAGTGTGTGGCATTTTGTAGGCAGTTTATTGACAACACAAGCTTTTTATTTCAGGAAGGTTATGTACAGCCCTTTCCAATGCAAAATATCCATATACCCTTACCTTAAAAATGTGTTCAGATCAGGGATTTAGAATTTACACTAGACCATCCAGACAGACAACTTACAGCAAGTTGTACCTCAGCAGTAGTGAGTAAAATGCAGTGTCTTATGACATGAGAGAATCCACAAACACAAAGGTCAGTGGCAAAAGCTGTCCAGGTGTTCAAGGCAACACCTCACAACATTATCAAGAAGGATCTTCGAATAAAAAGTATCACATGGATACAAGTCGCTTATCAAGAAAAAAGAAGACCATCTATAGAAAACTGTTTGTAACCTAGCTGGGGACAATAGCAGTGGTGATACTTGATGAAGTGTTTGTATACCTTGATAAGTGTAACAATTCTCTCACCATTTTCTGCTGGCCAATGGGCAAAAAACATTTCTAAAAGTGGTACATGGCATGTCACATGCTCTTAAAGTACATCATGATCTTTGCTGGATAATGCATCAGGGGCAAGTTAGGGATCAGAAGAATTAATACAAAGATCAAGATGAACTCTACTCATTATCAGACCAATGTTCTAGACCATTTGTGCCAAACAGAAATAGTGATTCTCCATGAAAATGAAGCCAGAAAGGTATCAGTCTACCCTGATAAAGCTTCATGTTATACCTCTTGTTCAACCATTGCATATCTCAAGCAGCTAGAGAATGAGACAGGTATTCATGCGATTCCACATGAAGACGTACAAGTCAAGTTGCTGGATGCAGCTCCTATGAATATTTTTAGATCAGGCTGTTGAAACAAGTGCTAAAAAACTCTTGTCCTCATACACTAGATGGATTATGGATGAATGGTGTGCTTTGTACATGACATCCTTATGATGGAGCCTTTTGTTATAGAAAATATGGTTCAAGGACGTTCTCAAGATGTACAATTGTCAGCTAAAGCATGATTGGATGTAATGACATGGACTGTAAAAACATGGTGAGGGTACAAAATCGTTTAGTATAATATACTCAACCTTCCATATTGTCTTTAATTGCACTTATACATATTTCTGTTCCAGTATATAATGTATTGTACATATGCTGGTTGAAAACATTAATTATTATGCAATATTTTGCATAATAACTATACTTTATGATAATCGTTTACTTTATACAAATTCATTATAAATCTCTGGTATTTAAAATCAACACTGAAGACAATACGGTTTGAAGGAATTAAACCTTGAAATTTATATGCTTGAATTAAAACTAGTTACCACTTAGATTCAATAAAAATACCCAATCAAACACCTGAATCAGAATATGACTCCTTGTCTGTTAAAACACAATTACACTTAAGTTCTTCATTGTGATATATAACACAGGAAATGTTGGAACTTTAACAGATTTAAAGAAAACAAAGCAAGTATTAGGAGGGTAAAACCCAAAAGCCTGATTGTATGAGTGTTTGAATAGCTTCAGAATCCACAGTTGAAAATAAAACAACAAGTGGTAATAAAGTGGAGCTCACTAGACAAGTTTATAATGATACAGCACCTCAGCTGACTCTACATTTAAGATAAGTAAACAGAAGTCTGTTAGAGCAGCATCATGCCCAGACAGAGGCATCATTAGCATAGGTTGGGGCATGTAAACTATGGGAGGACTGTGAAAGCCCTGATCATTCACTGGATGCCAATGTGTTTGCATTAAAGTGTCAGCTTGTGTAAATGGTTGGTCAACCCTCAGCTGGGTTTGAGCTTGGTGTGATGTGGGTGCCTGGTTAGGATGATCTGTTCAAGGTATAGCCCCTGTGGACCTTTTCCTTTTTTGGAGCTAGTTCCAAGCCACAATGCTAAGAAACTGTCTCAGTAATGGTGAAAAGTTCCCTCAAGTCTACTTGGTGCTCCATCATTTTACTGGGTAGTCCTTCCCAAAATTTGTCAAAGAGTATATTCTCATGATCCACTATAGTCAGTTCATGTTGTAAGCTTTATACAAATGGTGCAGATCATCTGTGTTATCCCTCTTCCAAGCCTTGAACTTTGCCAGATGGATTGTTCAATTTTCCACCAGGTCAAACTATTAGCTCACTTAGCAACAATTGTCTCACAGTCAGAACCAAATTTGCACTTTACTTAAGTGCTCAATGGAGTCCAGGACCAGACTCAAGATCAGGCATTTTATAACCTGCTGTTCCAAACAGTTACTTGTTTCAAAGGCTTCAAGAAATAGTTTAAATATTTTTTGCTGCATCCTTGAACGTAACGGGAGGGGTTGATCTCTTTTAGCCTCACCCACATGGCCAGAACCTCATCCCCCCATCTTGGCTACCTGACAAAAAAGATACTATGGTAGATATTCTCAGGGACTTGGACTAGGAATCAACTACTCATATAAGAGTCAAAGGCAGCAGACTAACACACTTCTTTTAGTAGCTTGTCCATTAGCTCTATATGACCTCAGGCTCCTCACTGCCCAATGTTTACCAACTTTACCATTTTGGGTCTACTGTTTCACCTGCTAGTGAGATATCTCTTGAGGGTGAATATTTTCATCAACAGCACCTTCAGCCTCTCCCTCACATTCTTGGGTTACTTCAACCATGCCTCTCTTGTAATGAGGATAATTCTCAGGGAAAGAGCATGAACAGCTGTTCTAGGTACACCAGATACAGGTGGCTCTTCTTCCTGAGTCACTGGCTGTAGTAAAATTGAGATCATGGAATTTTGCAGCATCAGCAAAAGTCCAGTGTCCAGGAGAAGTATTTTCCTAAACTTGACAACCCTTTCTCTTCAGTGACCAACTCTTCCTCTTGGTCATAAGTCCTTTAAGTTGTGGAAAATGTTTTATCTGATAACAGGAACCATGGTACAAAAATATAATTAATTGGCAATACACACATTGGCAGAAAATTCTGTAATACAATATCATGTGGTCATTACAATATTTTTTTTTCTTATCCATTCTATGGTATACTTAGGTTAAAGTGATTTCCCTTAGAATGATGGGATAGGTATGCAGAATAAAAGGAGATTCAACAAGATATTTATTTTGAAGTAGCATCGTATTTCTCTGAATACCTGAGTTTGTGAGAATGAATAAAATAATGAGACAGAGCACAATGTTGAACATAAAAGCACAATATATGTCATAGTACAATATAAATACAGTGTGTATACACTTGTTT